TTTATTTATTTATTTATTTGTGTGTGTGTGTGGCCAGCTCAGCCCGCCAGGGGGCGGGGCCGGCTGGCATGTGCTTTTCTGAGCTTGTTCTAAGTAGATGCTTTAGACCACTGAGCCATCTCACCAGCCCCTACACCCTACCTTAATGGAAGGAAGGTCATCAGAATTACTAGGCAGATCCTTTTTTTTTTTTTTTTTTTTGAAACAGGATCTCAAATAGGTCTGTGTAATTAAGTTTGCTGTTCTTTCTCTTCTCCTCCTCCTCCTTCCTCTTTTTTTTTTTTTGTTTGTTTGTTTGTTTGTTTTTTGAGTCTGGTCTTCAACTCACTATGTAGCCCAGTCTGGCCTCTAACTCAGCAATCCTCCTGTATCAGCCTCTCAAGTGCTAAGATTACAGGCATGCACCAGCACAGGTGGCGTTAGGCAAAACTCTTTAAAATACAACTTCTTTTGACTTCTCAACTTTGGATATTCTGATTCAGTGGGTATAAAGGTTCTGATACAAACAGACTTGATTATTTAAGGAATAAATAATGGACAGACCTCTTTAGGGAATTTTAGATTTTGGGGTTTTTTTGAGATAGAGTCTTACTATGTAGTAGTTTAAACTGGCCTTGAACTCACTGTGTAGTCTAGGCTGCTTCAAACATAGCATAATCCTCCTGCCTAGCCTCCCAAGTGCTGGGATTGTAGCTGTGCTAATTTGGGTTTATTTTTAACTTTTTTTTTTTTTTTTTTTGCTTGCCAGGCATATTTTTGACTTCTAGTTTAAAATTTAGTTTTTAAAATTTCAACCAGATTCCTCTTCATTTTTGTTGAGGCCCAAGCTAAGTTAAAAGAAGTTCAGGTAGAGAAGTTACACAGGCAAAGAATGGAAAATATCTTCCCTGGGAAGGAGTATAGTAAAAGCAAGAACAGCAAGCAGAAACACCTGCATTAAACAATAACTATTTCACTGAAATTAATAATGATTAAAAAATACAAACAAATAAACAATGATTAACTTTCATGTAGATGAACATGTTGCATAATTAAGACCAGGAGCTGGGTGGCCAGGCGCCAATTCTCCTCTTCCAGTTAATATGAGGTGTATCGCCTTAAACATGTTTCTTAACTCTGGGTCTTAAGTTTACTCAGCTAGGAGATAGGGATCGCCACAGTAGTACTTCATAGGTTTATAAGTAGCATTTAGAGAATTTGCAGTACCTGGCCCATGATAATTACCTTGTATTCATGTTTTACTAGAATTATGGATAGTACCTGTATATGCTTGGTTTTAGGCATTTGGAAGGACTTTCTGACCCAACATCCTTAGTCTGCTAAATGAAAAATATGTGTTTTCACAGACATCTGGGAGTAAGCTGTTCTGGGAAAAACAATTTTATTATTTAACCTATCCCATAAACCCTTACAATAATGTTTTTACTGAAATTGTTCCAAGGCTTTCTGCTCAAACAGTATAGACAAGAACTTGTGATCAGATATTTTGGAGGAGCTATTTAGGCATCTTATGCCAGCTAAACACAGTCCAACTTGTTTGTTAAGAAATGATCAAGCCAGACATCAACACCCTGGGGTTACTGAAATGCCATAGTCCCAATGCACAATCTGTTTACATTTCTTTGAATAATTAAGCTCATTGGTTGGATTCACCCTACAATCTTGGTGTGTGTTAAACATCATGTCCTGAATAAAAGCCAGCTTCTCTTGATAGTTATCACTTATACATGGTACTACCTCTGGTGGAGGCCTAAGGGAAAAGTGCCAGATAGCCTTTTAGGTGCTTTCACACACTTTGTTGTGCCTTTACCATGATTTCTTTTATTGCCAGCATTTAATTCTCAAAATTCATTGAGGCAGTTGAGTTTTCAATGAGTCTATGATGAGCTGGGAGTTGTGGTATGCACCTGTAATCCCAATATTTGGTAAGCTGGGGTAAGAGGATCATGAGTTTGAAGCCAACCTTTGTGACCGAGTGTGTTCAAAGCTAGCTTCAACTAGATAGTGAGACCTGACCAAAAAGATAAAGATCATTTGAAGGGTAAAGGTGGGGTTTTTTTTTTTTTTTTTGGTGGAACTGGGGATTGAACTCAGACCCTTGCGCCTGCTAGGGAAGCGCCTATTCCACTGAGCCATCTCCCCGACCCTTGAAGGGTAAAGTTACTGGTTACTTTAGGTTTGAAAAGTTAGAGTGATGTTGTTGAAAACAAATTGCTGTCTATAATTCTTCCCTATTGAGTCAAGTAGATTTTACAATTCGAAGTTGGTTTTTTGTTGCTCTTGGCAGCCGGCCAGCATATTCTTTTGTTGATATTTCCTCAACTTGTAATCATTTTACTATGTTAGGTGCAGTGGCCTTCGGAATTTGGTCATAGGGACTTATATAAGCTTTCCCCATGATTATCTTGATTTCTCAAAGGTTCTTCTTTCTCAGTTAATAGCAAAGAAAATGTTTGATTGTTAAGAGAAAAATACACCTGTCTTAGTTACTTTTCATATAAGACAATACTTGAAACCCAAAATTAAAAGAGGAAATGTTTGCCTCGCTCACAGTTGGTAGAGGTTTCAGCCCACGGACAGCTGGCTCCAAGGCAGATCAGCATTGCGGAGGAAAAGCTGCTCATGTTGGGCAAAAGTAGCCAAGCAACAAGGAATGACCACAGCTCTTTCTATCCTTGTATTAGTCCATGCTACTTATGACAGGTAGCACTCACACCCTTAATCCTAGTGCCCTAAAACAAAACAACAACAACAAAAAAACCTAGTGTCCTCTTTTTTTTTTTTTTTTTTTGGCAGAACCGGGGATTGAACTCAGGCCCTTGCACTTGCCAGGGAAGCACTTATTCCACTGAGCCATCTCCCCGGCCCCCAAACCTAGTGTGCTTGATCCTAGCATTGTACCTTTTTTTTTTTTACACTAAAAACTTTATTTTTTTTAAAGAGAGTACAAGTTAGAACTAAAACAGAAAAAATCACAAATGATAAAGATTTTCACTTAACAAAGTAATATGAATTTCACAATATTTGTTGTAATGCAGTGTTGTCTTCCAACCAGTTATTCATATTACCAGATGTATGCATGTAAAATTGGAAGAAGAAAGAAATGTATAAGAAATTAATAGAAAAAGTACAATTGGATAAAGGAGATGAAACAAGTTAAAATATTAACTGCTTCTTTGCATTGACCAGCAGAAATGCACAGTACAGTTGTCCAAAGCTTCCTGTTTACAGACACAGATGAACCTCTTTCTCCCATTCTCTCTCCTGTACTTCTCCTCAACTCAGTAACTCTTTCCTTTTGAATAAGTTCATTTCCATTTACCAGTGGCTATTGTGCCCTTCAGATTCCATTTTTCTGCATTGTACATTAAATCAGTCCCAGCATCACGCACTCTAGAACTAGCCATCTCTGAAAAAGCCCCACCTATGACTGCATGAAGCTTTGGGAGTACTGTAACACAAACTATAATTTTCTATCCCTTAGGCATATCTGTTTATGCAAAAAGATTTAGTTCATCTCTAAGAGTTGCCAAAATCCTAACAGTTTCACCATTACTGAAAATTCCAAGTCCCAAGTCTCTGAGATAGAAGGAAGAGTCTTATCTTCAAGCCTTTTACAAATGAAATGAAAATTAATCACTCCAAATGTTCAGTGGCACAAGATAGATATTACCATTCCAAAAGTTACAAATGGAAATACTAAGTCATGGTGCCAAAGTAAATCTAAAATCCAGCAGTGCAGACATTAAATCCTGTACTTCCATGTCCAGCATCCTTGCCAGTCTGGCAAGATATGCGCTCTGAAGGGCTTGTGGCTGCATCCCTACAGCATTTCCAATGGTTGTAGCTCTTGTGGCTTCTCTCTTGGCCAGCTCTGTTCCCTCTTAGTAGTTTCCTTGGATGATCCATGGTTCTGGCTTCTCCAAACCTTTGGGGTCTCTTTCATCTTCACATACTGCCTTCTCAGGGGTACACTGCAGCCTGCCAGGTCTTCCTGGGCCCATCACTCTTCCATTCTGCATGCACCTAAAACCATCACCACATGGATGATGCTAACGGTCTGCCAGCTAGAGCAGTACCCAAGCTTCCTGCGGTCCAGCTATAGGGGTGGAGTGTCTGGATCACTGAGTACTCTGAACCCAATCCAGGATGAGATCATTGTTACAAGGGTGGATTACTGATCATCAGTTATGTTTGGTTAAGCTTTCATAATTACAAGGGTCAAGAAAGTAATCACAAATCCATGAAGCAGTTACAGAACTTTCAAAAGAACTAAGTTTTTAAAAAGAACAATTTCTCCCGCACAGCTTTTCCCTTTCATCTTTACTTCCATCATTTCATCTGTCCCCACTTAACTCCCAAGCAAGCTCTGGCAGAGCTGGACTCAATTTGAGGGTGAGCAGAGGTACCACCCTTTGGCCCTAAGCCAGCTGTCACCTAAAGGGGAACCATTGGGAAGCAGTGGAACAGAGTGACCATGAAAACAGAAAGAAATAAAGAAATAGGAGATGTACCCAGCTCAGTAGTGTAGTCAGTTCTCCATAATTCTACATAATGTCCTGAATTTTCCAGTAATTTGGTTTTTGCTTACTTTTTGAAGTAGCGTTTAGAAAAATAAATTGTAAATTCTGCTCAGCCAAGTGCCTCTTGAGCTACAGTCAATAGAGCAAAGTTAATAGTTGCAAAAGGAAATTTCTACCTAGTAGACTGGCAGAGGCATGTTAGAGATCAGGACCTAAGATTAAAAAAAGGTTTTATTTTATTTTATTTTTTTATTTTTTCTATATGGGGAGATAGGTGACAAAACTACTTTTTATCACATTGGATAGAAAAATGCAGACTCCTCTTTCAGTCATTGTATGTAAACTTACCATCACACCTCTTATTAAATATGTCATTCTTGTTTTATCCTAAAGGTGAAAGAAGAAATTGGAGATGTTAGTATTTTAGTGAATAATGCTGGTGTGGTCTATACATCAGACTTGTTTGCCACCCAAGACCCTCAGATTGAAAAGACTTTCGAAGTCAATGTACTTGCACATTTTTGGGTGAGTATCATCTTTATTTTACCAAAATATTTCCTCATGAAAGCCCCAAGATTAAGTTTAAAGTGGAACTTTCTGGCTGCGGAGATAACTCAGTGGTCTAAGTGCCTGCCTAAGCAAGCTCAAGGACCCAGGTTTGATTCCCAGGTACAACATGCCATTCCTGTGCCAAGCCGCCCACCAAGACTGGGTGTGGTGGCGCACGCTTGTAACCAGCACTGGGGAGGCTGACACAGGAAGATCACTATGAGTCTGAGCTACGTAGTGAGACCATGTATCAAATACATTAAAAACAACAACAACCTGACAGAACCTGGCTCTTGCCAGACAAGTGCTGTGCCACTGAGCTAAACCCCAGTCCCTGATACCTATTTTCAAAGTGTCTGTTATTAGCAGAGTAGTCCGATTTGTTTGTGCATCCCCAGCATGCACACACGGAAGGTGCGCAATCAGTATGTGACAGGTAAAGCGTCTGGTGCCTGCTGGGTGGTTGCACTTCCCTTGACTGTTGATGGATTACTGAGCCCTTTTCTCACAAATTCTCTTTACATGGGAATTCTTTCAGATTATTATCCCTGTTGGGTGGGTGGGAGGGGAAGGGTGCCTGGGCAGAGGTGGAGGCTGGGGTCGGCTGCCGTTTGAGCAGATGCTCAGAGCGCCGGTGTCTCTCTTCTGCTTGCTTCTGTTGTCCTGACATGGGCCTGTGGATCTTCTACCTTTGGTGGATGCAAATGCAATTCAGGTTTTTCCCATTTTCCACCAGCAACAGCGCTGTAAAAAATAACTGTTTCACACTAGTCCCAGCGAATCTGTGAATCAAAGATATTTTCTAATTTTTTTTTTTTTCTGTCCATACCAACTTTTCAGACTACAAAGGCGTTCCTCCCGGCAATGATGAGGACTAATCACGGCCACGTGGTCACCGTGGCGTCTGCAGCTGGGCACACGGTGGTCCCCTTCCTGCTGGCTTACTGGTAGGTGGCGCTGCTTCCTACTCCGTTGCTAGGCTCCCTCTGTCCCGGGAGCACTGTCTTTGTCTTGGGAATAGACTTGGAGCTGCCAAAACAAAGCACAGCACAAGGTCTTCTTGTAAAACAGCAGCTTCCAGGGTTAATCCTCTATGTTTCGCCCCCAGGCCAGTTCTAAGGTTGCTGCTGGGAGTCAGTCCAGAGGTAAACCTGGCATAAAAATGTTGTGGGTTCACAATCAGTGTAGGAATCCAAGTAGCCGATTAAAATTTGAAGATTTTTATTAGCTGAGCTCAGCGACTGTCAGCTTGGACCCCTGTTTCAGAGTCTTGAGCGGTCCTGACCAGAGGACATGGCAGTATATAAAGGAAATATGCAGTATATCTTGCTTGTTGAACAGACTAGCAACCATCCTGCCTGTCAAACAGATTCTTTTCTTGTTATACATCTGGCTACTTTTTTTCCTGTTATTGTTTAGGGTCAGCAGCTTTAGGGTATATTCCCTCCATATGGTTCTTTGTGTCACACATAGGCCTGTTTTTACAACACTGGGGTCAGCTGAAGTTTATCCTGGCAATACTTATGCTGAGAGTCTGAGTTTAGGCCATCACAAAAAACGTTCTCATCCCTCAGAATAGCAAGGGATTCCAAAATAAAAATATTTCCATACCAGGAACAAAGTTAAAATCAGTACTTTTTTTTTTTTTTTTTTTTTTTTGGCAGAACCAGGGATTGAACTCAGGCCCTTGTGCTTGCCAGGGAAGCGCTTATTCCACTGAGCCATCACCCTGGCCCCTAGTACTTTTTATTATTAATAAAAATAAATAATATTTTGTGGAAAGAAAACTAGAAGAGTGTGTGAGTGTATGTGTATATACATGTATTATCTGGTATTCTAAACACTGAGAGCAAACAGAATTTTAAAACTTAGTGGCTATCCATTTATTTTGTTTTTGAGACAGGGTCTGGCAGTGTAGTTCAGTCTAGTCTTGAACTCAGTGTAGCCCACTCTGGCCTCAAACTCTCAGCAGTCCTGCTGCCTCAGCCCTTGAGTGCTGGGATTATAGGCATGTGCCACCTCACCAGGCTGGCTGTCCATGCCACTGTCGTACAAGCTGTAACAAGCAGGTCCCTGAACAGTGCACTGCCCTGGGCTGTGCAGGCCCAATAACAAGGCTAACCCACAGGGACGGGACCCTGCTGGCGGTACACGCTTAGCAGATCCAAGCTGTTTCTGTGCTCTATCAAACCTAACTTCAAAAATACTCAAATTGTAAGTAGCAGATATGTGTGTGGGCAAGTAATGTTGACATTTGTTTTCTGTTGTATTCTCTCAGTACCCAAGTTAGAAGAATAGCGTAGGTATCATTTAGCTTCTTCTGCAGGTGTATTTGTTTCCTAATGATTTTGTGTCTGTGATCCCACCACTCTGGAAGGTGGAGACAAGAAGGAGGATCATAAGTTCAAACCCAGCCTGGGCAAATTAGAGATACCCTGTCTCAAAATAAAAAGTAAAGAAAAGGTTCGGGATCCAGTCCAGCTCAAAGGCCCGGGGGTTGATCTCTTATACCATCAAGAAAAAAAAAAGTTTTTCATTAAACTTAATTTTAAAAAAATACAGACTTAGATTAAATGTAAGGAAGGAAGGAAGAGGTAAGGGAAGGGAGGGAAAAGTACTCAGAGTGGAAGGGAGGGAAAGTACTCGAACAGAGTTGGCATTTACTTCACTTTCTTGATGAGCGATCGTTCAGGTGCTGCTGCCAGGCTGTGCCACAGCACTCCACCCCCGCGCCAGACTCTTAGCTCAGTTACTGGGCCTTTGGGCGAGCAGGTGTCCTGTGCCTCTTCTTTTGATAGACAAGAGAGACAGTGCTTTGTGCAAAGAAGTTGTGTTGTGCGGCCTGGTGATGGCACCTTGGGTAGAAATAAAGGTCCTCCCTCCCCCCAAGCTGCGGGCCATCTACAGTCACACCGAGTGTGCGCTTTACAGACCTAGGCTCCAGCACTCACGGTCCGGCCCTTCTGGACTTGAATGGTTCTCCCAGCATATGGCCATCAGATACCCTGAGAAGAGGCCTGGCTTTGCAAAATTTACAGAAGGGCCAGGCATGGATTTGCCCCCCTGTACATCCAACAATCTCAAGGCTGAGGCAGAAAGATCACGACATTCAAGGTCAGTCTGGGCTACATAATGAGTTCAACATCATTCTAAACTACTCAGCAACAACTTGTCTTAAAACAGCAAAAATCAGTAAATAAATGAAGGGCCGGGGAGATAGCTCAGTAGAATAAGTGCAGGGCCTGAGTTCAATCCCCGGTTCCAATAAATAAATAAATAAATAAATAAATAAATAAATAAATAAATAAGAAAAGATAGAAAATAAACACAAATAAATGGCACACAAAGGTCTCACTATGGCTAACAGGCCAGCATTGTAGCCACACGCGTGGTTTATCCCTGTCCAACTTGGGGACACAGCTGTAGTTCTGAGCCCTTTCAGAACTCTTTGCAAAGTTCTGCAGCTGCCTGCCTGGGCTCCTCAGCCATCAAAGTCATCTGCATCTCCATTGGTGCTGATGTTTGCCAGACACCTGCTCTGTGAGATATTTGTGGGCAGAAAGAAAGTGATGTTTATCAGATGTAGTTCTCAGCAACTGGCTGTTAAATTCACTCACTGCTTTTGAAATGCAAACATTCTTATTGAAGCACAGTGTGCATTTATAAGTGAAGAACTCCTCAGGGCACTCTTTGTTGGGCTGCTCCTGGATGTGTATCCCTGTAAACCATGTGCAGGTCAAAGATAGAGCACAGCCAGGGCCAGGAGCCCCTCAGGTAGTAGCACACACTATTTATGGGATGTATCCAAGCTGTCATTGGCTGTATAGTTTTGCATTATGTGACTTAATTGTAATACTTTATTTTTCTGTCTACCATTTGTGAACATTGAGGTTGCTTCAGAGCATGGCTGTGAATATTGACCCAGTCACTACTAGCTATGTGGTCTTACTTTATTTTTCTGTCTACCATTTGTGAACACTGAGGTTGCTTCAGAGCATGGCTGTGAATATTGACCCAGTCACTCCTAGCTATGTGATCTTAGGCAAGTGACTCAACTTTTCTCTGCCTCCTTTCCTTCCTCCATAAGACAGACTAATAATGCTATGTAGCTTGCCGGGTAGTGTAAGGCTTGAACTATTCGGTGGGATGCGCTGGGCCAGGAGTCCAGCAGGTGACCATGACAGGAGATGTCTGTTGTATTCAAGTCCCTTCCTGCATTTACAGAGAGCAGCAAGGTCCTGCCATCCCTCCTCACCACTTCCGGAGCACTTGGCCTCTGTGGAACTAATCACAGGGGTCCTGGCCTCTGAATGTTGGATAAAGTGAGGGGGCCACTGTCCCAGGCTGCACAGCTGTGGACTCTGTTACAGTCCCAGTCTGTTTCAGGAGAGAGCACTTCAGTTTGTTTTTGGAGTTAGCTATAGCTCAGTAGTTCTGTTAACTGATGTGAAAGGTTCAAGACAATAGAACTGAACTTCCGGTAGGGCAGGGTAAGTCTTTTGATTCTGAAATGTCTTTTCTGCTTGCTGAGTATTTTTTCTACCAGTACCTTTGATTTTTTTTTTTTTTTTTTTTTTTTTTTTTTT